CGGGTTTTAATTCAAATCACTGTCGCGCAATTCATGTTGCTTCCAAGATGATGTCGCACATTCAATAAATCCAACGCTTATAAGACCTCAAATTTGAGTTGTTAGATCGAAAGAAATAACAAAAACAATAACACCCACAACTTATATACGCACCCGCGCCCCAAACCTTCCCGCTTCTAATCTTATTATAAAAATACCCTGCGCGGATGCCAAGGCAAAAGGAGGTGGAACTGGGAGAAATAAGAGGGAGTAACGGAGGAGAAAAGAGAAGAAGGGGGAGAGGAGGAAGGTTTCCATTTAAAATTGACAGTCAAATTTTCAAACGTAATTTATTGGGAGAAATGCAGACAGAGGTGATCCAAATCACCCCTCCCCCGCCCAACCACCCTCCCAAAAGCGAATTTTGCTGCGACACTAAAACAAAGCAAAAAAATTTAGCTGGGCACTTTTCTATCTCAATCAGCCATCATTAATTTTTTCGAATATTGCGCAGTACATGTTCGTTGATGAAAAACAAACAGTTGGAATTGATTTAACCGAAAAATTATTGCTAAAGCTTGCGGGAATGACGAAAGAAAATAAAGCACACGATTTTAACCGGACCACGGTCGTGTGCAAAGTAGAGGTTTGTTTTTCGGAATTTTGCGGAGTCAGTAATTAGTTAGAAGCGAATACATTGAACAAACTGAAAACATTATATGTTACGGATGCCCTAGAAAGTATGTAAACATTAGAACTTGCATTTTTGGGTTGCTGTGCCTGTGCAAATATGAATCGACAAGGAAAAGGTATGAATAGCTCATATGGATTAATAGAGCACGTGTAGAGCATCCTTCTCAGCACGTGTGTTTAAAAATGGTACCCCATCCACGGCTGAAATTTGTACAGTTTTAGAGTAAGGAAAAACGTCTTGTGCTCTTTCCTCAAAGGAGTGTGTACGAACCTAAGATAGAAATAAAATCGGTGATTTCAGGATTTCGATTTTTTGAACTAAAAGTTGCTTAATTTCTGATTCTTGGCTTTTTTGTACAGCGTGAAAAAGGGCATCGTTGGTCAAAAGACAGCTCAGTGCGAGAATGCCTTTCGCAGCGCATCGATGAGCCGTTAGTTCAGCTTTTCTCGCCATCACAAGAATCCACCAAAACGACAGTGCTCGAACTGTTTGAGTAAATTTTCTTTTAATCTACTTCTTAAAAAATAAGGCATTTTCGCGAAATTTTTCTGCATCTAGTAGCAGTCGCATGTTCTAAAGCCCTGTGAGTTTAAAACAACCTACATGATTGAAAAATAACCCAAACGGCCTAAATTTATTCATTTCCTGCAAGATTTTTTGAAATCTAATGACAACCTGACATGAATTGTGTCTCTAAGGAATGCCCACCAACTTTCTGAAACTCGTAGTTTGCGGTAGCGGTTCGCGGTTGGTATCATTAGTAAGTAATATGTTTCTAACGGATTGTTTTTTAGGTTGCCAGCATTGGATCTGGTTCTTACAAGTAACCAGAAGGTACCGGTCACGTGTACAGCCCTTCGAAATATAAATGCCAATGTTAGTTGCTGCGGACTTCTGTTCTTTCATGCTTTGAGCGGCTAACTGCTGGATAGAGCAGCCTGGCTGTTAAGCTGCTTTTTTGAAAACTGACCGCTTTGATCCGGTTCAGAATTTATAGCTTTGGATTATGGATTATGAATTATGTTCAGGTGCTGTGCAGCGTCATATGCGAATTCCATTATGCGTTAGGTGTGCAAACCGATTTCACAACACAAGCAAACTTCCTGCCCGAACTGCTTCTATCATATCTTCCCAAGCAGGTCCTTTTTTTCGGTCAGATGTCCAATAAGCGAGAAAAAATTAAAGAATTGTTAGTGGGGAAATATGCTTCGTCTATTCCCAGGAAAAGCTTAACAACGTTTTTTTTTTGTATGCAGAGCTAAAAATAGGCTTTTTCACTGAGATAAAATTTGCAATATCCTCATCTCGGAACTAAACATTTTTTTATCACTGAGTTTAGAAACTTTTATGAGAAAATTGCGAAATAGAAGGAAATCCACTGGGAGAAAATAGTAAAAAACGAAATTACCAAATAAAGGAAAGAACTGGGGAACAGTCAAAATATTCAGAATAACAAAACCGACTGGACAGGCGGGAGATTTCAATATTGGTAATGTTATTGGACTGTCCCCACATGTCCGACCTGAATCCATTTCAGCACAATCATCCTAGTTTAGGTCTCAGATGAGAGAACACTGCTCCGCAAACATATCGAAAATCATGCATTAAACAAAACTAAGCACAGCAAGAAGTAGCTATGCACCTCAGTGTGCTAATAGTGAACACCAGAATTGTTGTTGTAGAAGGAATCTCAACCGGTTGGAGCACTTTCTTCTAAAGAAAAATCAACGGAAAAAAGCGAAAACGAAGAGGAAGATCAGCGAAAGTACGTCTGTACGGAATGGAAGGTGGACCCAAAGATACGCTTCATCGATAAAGTTAAGTGGGACCCACCGGTTATTGACGAAATCCTTCGACAGCTGCAAGTAAGCCACTCCGCTAACTCTTTTTATGAGCTTTTGCGGTGCACTGCTATAGCGCAACAGTCAGCAAAAACGCATGTTTCGACGACCCATGGTGCTTGTATTTATGTATGTATGTGTGTGTGCTATGCGTACATTTGTTCGGTTATTTCAACTCGGTTTCAAGTTGATTTGGATAATGAAACTTTGCCACTGGGTCTCCCGTCGATTGTCAGCTTTCAGGCACGTCTAAGTCTCATGTCCGGGGATGTGAAAGTTTTGACAAAAAACTGCCAACTCAAAAAACGGGTGAACTAGGAAGCTGGAGTTCTAGCGAGATGCCCTCTGTTCGTGTGCAGTACAAAGATTTCAAGACTTAACTCTCACATACGAAAGTGTGACAGTCCTGGTGGGAAAATTGCTAACTCGAAACCAAAAAAGCTATATTGCTGACGTTTTAGAAGGATGTCCTTTGTCCATGAACCACCTTCAGATTTCAGATTCATCTCCCAAGCATTCTATGTCTCTCACACGGTCACGCTAAAACTCCAACAGGAAACTTGCCAACTCGGAATTTGTGATCTTTCTCTCTCTCTCCCTCTCTCTCTCTCTCTCTCGTAATCATGTTCATTTGCACTTTCAGTGAACCATTGTTATAGCAAATTTTCAGCAATTACTAAAACTCGGCTCGGCTCGGCTCGGCTGGTGTCTTACACGATCAGCCAAAAAT